AATCTCATCACCTATGTTGTTGCTTTCAAGAAACCTCATTATACACTTCAACCAATACCGTTACGTCAAAGATTTTCATCCTTATAATACAGAGGAAAGGCCTATAAGAATGAAGATGGGTAATCACACAATTATTTTATGAGATCATTTATCCATATACTCAAATTTATATGTATAATCTCCAACGGAATTGATTTGTAGAAGCGTATGCAATCATGTAATTTGTCATGACCAATAATATTACATATTCAAACTATAACTTACAGTTTCTTACATTTGTGAATTCTTAAATCATGGCATGAAAGGTCCTGCCATTGATTGAATTAAATAGATGATGCAACTGAAGTATTTTGACAAGTAAAATGCTTAAAATTGTGTATGTGTGAACGTGAATTGTGTACAAAAAGCAGATCATGATCTTGTGTATAACATATTTTGTTCATTAGATATTTAAACCAATGAAGTATTGTCTTGTACCATAGCTATTATTTTAACAAATACTAAACACACTAACACACACTAGACGAAATACAATAATAATGTATAATTGTGAGCATGGACAATTTATAAGTAACATTATTTGTAGAGATAAAACCCATTTCCACTCCCTCTCACTGTTTTATTTTTTTTTTTATTTTTTTTACTTTTGAGAGGGATAGATTTCATTTCTTCCTAATCATAACAAAGCGCAAAAATGTTAATGCCCCACAAGGCTGCTTTATCTTCAATGAAAATTGTGAGTGCGTGGACAAAATGAGTCTTAATGGGAGAGAAATAATGAGTTTCTTCTTCAACATAGCATTCAACCTTAATTTGATGAGTGAGCTTTCTCTTTTCCCAATCACCAATCCTTAAATAGAAAAAAGTTAGAAGAAGCAGAAGAAAAAGTAGAAAGGAATATATAATATATGATCAAATCAGTGATGACATAAAGCAACGTCCCTCCCTCAATTTTAAATTTGATATTTTAGGGTAATCTGTCCACCCACTATCAAAATGACAACAAACAAAGCACATAACAGCATAATTCCCTCTTTCTTCTTTCCCTTCATTTTCTTTCTGACATCTCAAGACTTAGGCGTTTAAAGACGTTAATGGAAGCTCTCACACTGATAGAAAGAAAAGAAAAGAACAGTAGTGAGATTGCAGGCTGCCTTCCACTGAATTTTAGTCTAATGATGATGGTAAGGACGAGGATGACGATGATGTTGTTTGTTGTTTTCCACTATGAGTTGCCTCCTTCACTTTGGATTGCACGAATGGATTGCTCAAATTGTGGCAGACACATCCATAAACCCATGTAGCCCCCCTTTCAAACTTCCAGTCCTAGTCAGCTCCACCATCATTTTTCTTTTCTAATGAATTCTAAGAAAGCAAAAGCAAACGTGCATGCAAAAATTAGTCATCTTGATTTCATGATATTCTACATAATAATAAGGTTGTTATTGTCTGGTAGGTAGGTGATATTGGGTTAATTTGTGCTCATCTTAATTTACCTTTATATTTAGCAGAGTTTAATCGATTTTTAAATTTGATTCCTTTAAGTTCAGTTCATATGCTCATGTTTAAATTAAAGGATTAGTTCAGTTGCTTAATGTTTAGCATATTGGATAAGAATAAACAAATAAAGTAAAACACATATTTTGGGACAATTTCATATAAAATTTATAGCAACTAATACATTAAGTCTAGCATAAATGACTAATTCCTCATAATTTAATAAACCAAGTTTGAATTCTTGTTACGAAGGTGCTCATACTTAGTTTTTGAGTGTGTTTTAAATGAGATTATCTCTAATAGATGACACGTGTACAATAAAAAAAAAACTAACAAACTATGTTATTCATAAGTCATGAATTGTGTAGCTCATTTTCAAACTTTTTTTATAAAATGCATGGCCTGGCATCTAATTTTATTATAAAGTATTTATTATTATTTATTATTATAATTTATTTATTCATATTTATCTCATTCCATTAATTTTTAAAAAAGAATAGGAGAATTTATTTCTTTATTTGTTCTTTGGTCATCCGTGGAAAGGGATAGGCCATATATTGGGCCTAAATGTTGGATAAGACATGATTCAATGTTGTCCGTGGGGAAGAACAAAAAATAGAATATCAAATGTAGTGGGCCACAGAAGCCCAACTGGCCTTGGGTTTGTTCCTTTGAAAGGATCTGCATATTTTAGAAACGCTAGCATCTGTTGGTAAAAAAAAAAAAAAAAAAAGGTAGCAGCTATTCCTCCTAAAACAAAATTCCACTTTTACCCCCAAAAAATTCCACTTTGCATTTGTTGTACAAATTTTAGCCTCATGATCGAAATTGACTTGTGAATATGTGAGTGGCAGTTATGAATTTTTTAGTGGCCCTTGTATTTCCTAGAAATATATGTATGGAATTTTAACCTTACCCCAAGTTTGTCAACTTGCTCCCTCTGTATTATTATAATATAAGTCACTTTTAAAAACATATTTAATTTAAAATATAAGGCATTAGGTAAATTTTATATTTTTTTATTTATACCTTAGTTTTTTTTTATTCTTTTATCTTTAAAAGCTCAATATTTAAAAATTATACACTTGTTATTAAGAATTCTGAAAAAAAAATATAAATGAAAAGGTGTAAAGATTTTTAAGAAGTCAAAATTTTAATTAATATTTTTTATTAAAATTAGTTATTGTGATATGAGGAGGAAGTACACATGACTGTTGACAGCATGGGTAAAGAGCAGGAAGGAGGGCATTTTTGTGATGAGGACGACACGTTATTTATTTATTTTTTTATTTTGTAGAAAATCGGTATTGACGCACATGGGTTACATTTCATTCCAGGCCTCCATCATTTTCTCATCAAAATGTGAGTCTCTTTTCGAAAGTAGATCGGGACAATGGCTCCACCATTCAAGGCTGGTGTTAAGCCGGCGTGAATCGTGATCCGATGCCGTCGCCTTCTCTATCTTTGACGGTGGTTGGTGGGGAAGTGATGTTCCGACTGTGCTGTTGACGAGAGTTTGCTGCACACCCAGTTGAAAGCATTTTAGCCGTCCATTTGATCATATCCAACCATATGTACTTCACCAGAATTAGAGTTGGGAATAAGAGTCGAACCTAGAGATTTTGTTTAAATAAGTATTTAGGTCTTAAAAATTATTATTTTTTAAAATAACTAAGTTTAAGGGCTTGATCTTGGTAAGTTTTATAAAAAAAAAAAAACTTGAGCCTGGACGACCCTTTAAAACCCTATTATATATATATATATATTTAATAGAATACCAAATACACGTTTAAAGCCATGGACCTGTCATTTGAAGCCCTCCCAAACCTTGATTCTTAAATCATGTATGAACTCTAATCACTCCTCAATTTGAACTTCTGATTGCTTCTCCCTCAGCCTCACAGTTGCCCTTGCCCCTCTGCCTCACATCTCTTGTTCTTGCGATATATCTAAATATTTTATCTTGTAATATATGTAAGTGTGTATATTTAATAATAACACAACTTTGTTAATGTTTATTGTAGATGAAGAAGCAACGGTAGAAGAGCGTATTGATATTGAAACTCCTTCACCTTCGACAAATTGGCCAACTTCTGAAGGTTCTAATGTTTTATTTGTAAATGATAAAGATGAAAAGGATTTGAGTTTTGATTAATGAATATTATAATTAATTTAAATTTCTAAATATGTATTGTTTAATTTTTAAAAGATTATGAGAATTTTAATTTTTTATTATTTTAGAATATGTTAATTAATTTACAGTGGTTAATTTTATTTTAATTTTTAGAGTAGGGCCTAGCCTTGAGCCGTTTGAATAAGGGTTAAGCTTAAAAAATGGGGTTAAAAATGAGGAATCGAATTTAAGGTTCAAGACCTTAAGAGTCGGGCCCATAAGGGCCGAGCCGTCAATTTTTCAAGCTCTAACTTGAATGGATCTGCACACATGGATGGGCCAATCTTCACCGTTCATTTACTGAATGCATTGGATTTTTCTACATCATGAATTTCCCTCATGCAAATATGTTGTGCCTAATTTTTTTCTGGAATAAAGAGGCAACCCTATAGATAAACTGAAGAGTGCATGAAATTTTAAAGGAAGCCATTCCTTATAATGTCAATGCATTGATTAGAACTTTGACTAGGTACTTATATTGTGGGCATATTGCGCAAGCTAGTTACCATACTTATTGGCTTCTCTGAACATCTGTCAGACTTTCAAATTTTCCCTCTCTCTCCATGACATCAAAATCTCTCATACTGCGCAAGCTAGGTATTTAAATTGACTAGTTGCCGCCATGAAAGTATGCTGGGGGCAATTTTTTTATTTTTTTTCCGAATACTGTTAAGAAATCAATGGGGAGAAAAATGTTGATCACAACCTTTCATTAATCAACAACAATGATTACAAAACATTCCTTCATTAAAGAATTACAAAACTAATCAATCCACCTGGGTGATGAACAAACTCCGTTTTGAATATAATTTTTGATACCTGGCTATGAATTAATCCCAACTATGAATTAATCCTTCTTTGATACCCATCATTTCTACTACACTGACTTTGTCGAACGTCTTTGGATTTGCCTTACAATATAACATTGGGATATAGTTTTTGCAATTTTTGAAGGGTCATGGCTCATGATTCCTGAGGCATCCCACAGTTTTAAGTTGAAGTGGCTTCTTCTACAATTAAGCCTGCCATAATTTCTGGAGAAAGCTAAAGAAAGTTGTGCAAGCTTGCATTCAAAGTCAAGAGACACATACGTAAAGTAATGGCTAATGAACAAAGTGGGAAGAAAGAAAGGCCATGTGAACTTAACCTTTGCCGTTTATTGCCTCCCAAAATAACTCAACCTTCTCAATCCTCCTTGGTCGGTGCTCTGTCACCACAATCCACATTAACATTCCCTTTCAATCGCTCACAACTCATAAATATCTTAAAGCTATAAAATTGACTCTTCTAACAACCCCTCAAGCTGCAGATTAAATACCCACCATCACTAGTTATAGTGGGCATTTTCCTAGGGTCCTAGAGAGAGAATGGAGGAAGAAGATGTGAGAGTAGGTGCCAACAGGTACAGAGAAAGGCAAGCTATAGGAACAGCAGCTCAGAGCCAAGATGGAAGAGACTACAGAGAGCCACCTGCTGCATCATTGTTTGAGGCTGGTGAGCTATCTTCATGGTCATTTTACAGAGCAGGCATTGCAGAGTTTGTGGCCACTTTCTTGTTCCTTTACGTCACCGTTTTGACTGTCATTGGGGTGGCTAAATCTCCCTCCAAGTGCTCCACTGTTGGTGCTCAAGGCATTGCGTGGGCTTTTGGTGGCATGATCTTTGCTCTTGTTTACTCCACTGCCGGTATCTCAGGTAATCTTCATCAGAAAAATGCCCAGAAAAAAATTGGAACATGATGAACAAACAATTATACCATGAACAAGACTGTGTTATAAATGAAATAACGGAGCATAGTTTGGGTGGATAATTTGTGGGTGCAGGAGGGCATATAAATCCAGCAGTAACATTTGGGCTGTTTCTGGCAAGGAAGGTGTCACTAACGAGGACATTGATGTATATCATAATGCAGTGCTTGGGTGCCATTGCCGGAGCTGCCGTGGTTAAGGCCTTCCAACCACATACCTATGAGAGACTTGGTGGTGCTGCTAACACACTCACTTCTAGCTACTCTAAAGCCACTGGCCTTGGAGCTGAGATCCTAGGCACATTTATTCTGGTTTATACTGTCTTTTCTGCTACTGATGCCAAGCGAAATGCCAGAGACTCTCACGTTCCAGTAAGTCCTAAATTTATATCTATATATAATATAAAATCTCTACCAAGTTGTGTTACTCATGAATAATACAATTAATTTTTCAAATTTTCATAAGAAACGCTATGAATTTAGGACTTACAGGAACGTCCCTCACATTCGTGTAAGTCCCAAATTTATATGTATATATAATATAAAAGCTCTATCAAATTATATTATTTATTAGTTATGAACAGTACAATTAATTTCTTAAATTTCATAGAATGTATGAGACCTTACTAATTTCATAAGAAATATTATAAATTTAGAACTTATAAGAATGTGAGAATCTCTGGGTCTTCAGACTATGTCAGAGATTCCCACATTATTATAGATTATAAAATTTTGTTACCTCGAATTATTAAAGTCATGGACAATATATTTGATTTTTCAAATTTCATGTATCATATAGGATCTTGTGGTTTAGTGAGAAATACTATGAATAGAGAGTTGTATTAATTTAACTATTTGATTGTATGCTTTTGGATGGAATATGTAGGTGTTGGCACCATTGCCTATAGGGTTTGCTGTGTTTGTGGTGCATTTGGCTACAATTCCTCTGACAGGGACAGGGATCAACCCAGCTAGAAGTCTTGGCGCTGCTCTTGTCTTCAACAACCACCAAGCTTGGCATGATCATGTGAGTCTTCATACTTTGGTTTTTATTGGAATTTCATTGTTTTTCAATCTTTAAAATACGTTTAAACATATCAATGTTTTCTCACTCTGAAACTAACAACTTTGTGTGGTGCAGTGGATCTTCTGGGTTGGGCCTCTCATAGGGGCAGCTCTCGCAGCATTGTACCATCAGATAGTGATAAGGGCTATCCCCTTCAAGTCAAACTGAAGCATTTTCTGGAAGCAATTCATAACCATAATTGCTTGTGTCTCTGAAGCCTCTCTTCATTTCTTCTACATATATATATATATATATATATATATTTCTCTTCTGTATCGGGTTTCAGCGGGTTTCATTTTGTATTTAACAGCACACACACACACATATATATATATATATATTTCTCTTCTGTGTCGGGTTTCATTTTGTATTTAACATCTTCTCTGCACTTAGTAGCAATGGCAGGGATATAACTGCTCGTCCTGTCCTGTTCACATTATATAGCATCAGTTTGTCCCATTGAATAATCTTCAGAAGATAAATACATTATCATTATATGTTTGAATTGGAACTTCCTTTTTCAAAATAAAGTAATTCTTTTGAATCTATTGCCAAGAAATAAGGGAAGAGAGCTGTGGAAGAAAATGAGAAAAATGAAGCTAAGAGAATCAAAATATTACCTACTCCTTTTTTCTCCCTCCTTTTTAATGCTTTTTCCGTGTAATAAACTAAATGGTGGTTAGGAAACTTTAAAAAGACTTTTGAAAGATTTGAAGGAGCTCTCAAATCTATTTTGCAAACATATTGGATAACACATTTTTTAAATTAATATAAAATATATGATTTAAGATCTGTTTGGATAATCAACTTTTGACTTTTAAAAAATATTTTTGAAATTTTTTAAAGTCAAAAGTTATTTGGGCATCATTTTTATATGCAACCTTTATTATAAAAGTGCACTTTGAAAGTTGGAAAAAATAAATTTGCTGGATGTAATAAGAAATTGAGATATATATTTAACTTTCGAATTAACTATGCTACCTTAGTTACACTTTCATCCTTTCTATCTATTTTTTTCTTTTCTTGTAAACTTGTCCACCTCTCTCTTCTTCTTGATTTGTCTTTCTCTCTTTCCTCCTTGATCTCTTAATTGGAAGAATTTTTTTATATCACAAGTAAGCCATGAACAAATTAGGAATTATGATTAATTGCTTTATATATCAAGTCTTGATATTGTGAAAGGTTAAAAATAGTAACCAAACACATCCTCGTTAGCGGAAAGCGTCTTTATGATAACACAGTTTTGTTTGAAATACTTGTGAGACAAATTTGTGATTTAAGTCTTTGGCATGATAATTCAATTATTTTAAAAATGTATTTATCATCTGAACATAATATATGATAATAAATATAGGCGATTTGAACAATTGAACATGCATGGCATGCAATTTCCAAGTGTCGGCAAAATGGGGAACGGGTCGAGATTATGACGACGTCGTGTAAAAACCGAAAAGCGATTCTGACGTCTGAGTCTCCACTCCACGTGTAATTGGATCCGTTCCATTTCCTTTCTTCATTTCTGATTTCTTCCCCGTAAACCTCTGTCGCTACAGATTGAAGCTCCTTATATGCCATAGACAAAATCACAATTTGCAACTTTGTTGAGAGAAGCGTGATTGATTTGATTCTTCACTGTGCCAGTAATGAAGTCCCTTGCAGTTGCAAACTCCTCCTCTTTCGCCGTTGTTCATCATCCGCGATCCAGATCCTCTCCTCGTGTTTCCTATCTCCGACCTGAAATTCGCTTCTCCCTCCATCGCCGGACCGATCAACTTCCTAAACTCCGATTCTTGAAGCTGCTGCAAATCAATGGCACCGCTCCGATTCGTGCTTCCAATGCAAAGGTCTCTATCATCCTCTTCCGCATTCCCTGTCTTCTTCGGTGTGTCTCTAGCTCTGCTTTTCCGGCGGCATCGAGCTGGGTGGATTTTAACTTTTTCTCCCCCTCTTTTAACTTTGCTTCGGATTCTGATTCCGTTTTGGTATTTCCTGCATTTGGAATGATGAAGTTATCCAATTCTAAATATTTTGTTAACAAAAATTGTTCTGTTCGGGGCATTTAGTTTTTGACTCTGTATTTCTTCCTAGTCAGTAGTCTTTTACAGAGTTGGAAGATAGATTGAAATTATAAGTTATTTTAACTTTTAGAAATTCGGATTCGGATTGCTCTTTTTTTTTTTAATAATAATATAAGAACATATATTTGTTTCTAAGACGATTAAAAAATTGTTTTAAAGCACATTATTCATAAATCCTATTATCTAAAACGTGTAATCATGTAAGATTTGATGATTTCTCCGATGTATATGCCTTCCACTTTGTTTTTTAAGTATCTGTCATCTATTTTTCATTTTAACAATCATTATTATAAAATAAACAAGTCAAGAATAAGGATTTTTTTTTAAAAAAAAGAAATTCTGTTCCATGCAGTATGAAAACTTATTTGCATTTTACGTTTTGTTTCTTTCGGAATATTAAATAAATAAAGGCTAAGATCGCCGATCTCAGTTCGATGATTTAGTGTTGTCAATTTGGTGTGTGTATCTCAAATTCAGTAGAGTTGAGCAGCATTTGAATCTATATTGCCAATGCCTTTCATATTCTATTGCTATGCGTTCTCTCTCATTTTCTTTTTTTCTTTTTTGGGTTCTGTAGGAAACAGGAGAAATTTTATCGAGCAAATTTGTTATATATCTTATGGCCAAAAAGAAATCTATTATATATATGTTTGATGAAAAAATTAGTCCAGAAAAATAGTTATGTGGTTGTTTAGATACATTAAATGAATTGAGTGCTTTCCAGATTTGGCACACTATAGGACTCACTCTTGATCTTGATTTTTACATCATGTTGCAGGTAGAGTTGGACACTGCTGACCTGCCAGTTCAACAAACGAGTAAGTTCTTGTTAAAAAATTTTCCAGTTGACAGTGGTTAAAGGATAGGCAGACCAATACACATACACGAATAACAAATAAGTATTTCAACAAGATCAACTTTTATCGTTGTTCACAATTAACTTAATTTACCTTACTTTGACAAATGGAATCTGCCAAAAAATATCTCATGTCCTTCGTACTAGATATTCCAGTATTATTACAAACACGGTATTTATGTGTTGTGCAGATGAAATGAAGATTGCCCATGTCAAGTTTCAATTACAAAGAAAATGTCAGTACGGTGAACAGTTTTTCATTGTTGGGAATGATCCTCTGTTTGGTTCCTGGGACCCTTCAGAAGCAATACCAATGGCCTGGTCAGATCACCATATCTGGACTGCTGAAACAGTGAGTAAAAAATTAGAATATTTTTATATTAAGAAAAATAGAATAAAAAAATAACTTCTGATGAAAAGCTTCATTGCTAAATCTCTGAGATCAGCTCAGTCCAGCCCCAAACACCACGCCCCCCCCCCCCCCCGGGAAAATAAATAAATAAATGCACCTTCGTACATAATCTCCAGTTAAGTAAGCCAATTTATATGATTACCTCTTAAGTGGGTGTTTGAAATTCAACTGGATTCAGTCAAAGAACACAGCAATGAGAGACTGGCTGATCTTGACCAAAACCAACATGTTACCAAACATAGCCTAATACAATATGGTTTACTTCAGGATATAATTGCTGGAAAAACGATCCAATATAAGTTCATATTGAAAGAGAGAAAGGGGAATGTTATTTGGCAGCCAGGGTCAGATAGATTCATCCAAACCTGGGAAACTGTAAACGATATATCTGTCTTTGAGGATTGGGACAATGCCGGACTCCAGAAGATATCCGAGGAACAGCAACATCAACACTCAAATGAGGAATCCCAGCAGGAGGAGAAGCCATCGATATCTTCTTCCTCAATGAATACAGATTGTAAAGATGAGCAATCAGAAGCTGATAGAACCACACGGATTGATCTCAATGGAAAGGCTACTTCAATCAAGAATCAGGAATCAGAAGTTGGGGATAATGATCTGTTTGAATTTTGATGTTGAAGATGGTTCAGTTCTTGCCCCTGGCTTTGCACCACCAGTCTTGCCAGATGAAGAATCTAATTCAGGTGAAGACATTTGATTATGTTTGGCCAAAATAACAAAAACAGAAACAAGTTTATTCCGATTTCCCTATCTTCTTCAAGCCTACTCTCTCTGGAAGAACTTTTTTTTTTTTGGCCTTTTGGGTTAAAAGCACGATAATAAATCTTGAAGCTTCTTCGCTAATTTCATCTGTATGAGCACATTTTCTTTTCAATGAACCGATCTGGGTTCATCTATGGTTCTGAGTTAATTTTGGATGGAGACCGGTTTCGGTAGCACCATGGTGCTCATAATTGTGGTGAGATTTAGATGTTCCAGATTTAAAGGATTATTATATATTTTATTTATTAAAATAAAAATATATAAAAATTGTAAAATAATTTTAATAAATTTTTTATTTTTAATATGGCCTAGATTTAATTTAGAGGGTCCAATTTAATACTAAAATTTTTATCTGGCCTATGTAGAGTACATCTAGATATCAATATATATCAATTATAAAAATTTTTAGTATTAAATTGGACCCTCTAAATTAAATCTAGGCCATATTAAAAATAAAAAATTTATTAAAATTATTTTATAATTTTTATATATTTTTATTTTAATAAATAAAATATATAATAATCTTTTAAATCTGGACCAAATCTCACTACAGTAATGAGCACCACTGATGAGCACCGAAACCGGTCTCATTTTGGATGCTTGTATGGCATTATGAATGTTTTGTATAACTTCAATTATATACCATCACCTAATTTATTTTTTTTAGTCAAAACTATACTATTTAGTTTTAAATCATGGCACCTGTAGGACAAAAAATGGATTGAGAGAAATTTAAATATCCATGGAATCAATATTCAATATGGTATGTATTGTAAATTAATTTCTTTTTATTAAAAAAATTCAGTACCGTAGTAGGCGATAAAAAACAAGCATTAAATTTCTATTTCGCTCTTTGAAAATATTGTTACAATCAAGTTAATGAAATATTTTTAAAAGTAAACCGACTATTAAATCAGTGAAATTAATGACTAAAAGTTCACTGACCCAATCAAATCATATGTCATCTTACATTACTTGATTCAAGCACAAATCTTATTCTCACATCCTTTATACACACAGCATTGCCTGTACAAAACAGAAATGTTGGGTAGAGATACATGCAAGCCTCAAGTTATGATGAAATACGAGCAAAGGCTTGTTCAGACGTGTTAACAAAAAAATAACAATGAGCTAATCCTGTTTGTTTGAACTCAATGACTCAACCCACAAAACTCGAATCAAATCGGTCATATATATTTAAACATTGATATAATATATAATGGTTATTTGTTGTATTTAAGGTATTGAAAATCAGATTAGTTATTAAGTTGATCAAGATATTGATTCAAAAGTTAATAATTGACTGTAATAGAATTATGATCAAATCAATCATAAATAAATAATTATATTAAACTGATCAAAAGATTGATTTAAAGATTTATCAATTCAATAAGATGGAAAGATCCGGATTTTCATTATGTTACAAATCAGTCCAACCTGGACCGAAATTACTGGCCGGGCCGATCATACAGGCCCAACAGGGTGATGCACACCCGATCCACTGTCAAGGCACGTGTCCCTCCAGTAAGCATAAAGTGCCAGTGGCACACTCAACTTCACAGTAAATAATACCGTGTCTCTCCGTTAGTCGCCAATCTGAAGATATTTTACATGATCGCCTGCGGATTATGGAAAAGGAATCTGATCAGGGTTTGAAAGTTGCAGACTCGGCCGCATCTTGAGAATCCTCGTGGACCCTTAAAATACACGTGACGCCACCTTACTAGATTTCTCTCCAAAGCGAATCAATCCTTCACTTGCACGGTGGCCGGCGTTAGCCTGGCCGAGCCATGTCATCTCTTGGCAGCATCAACCGGCCGTTCGATCACGATGGCCTTGACGCCTACGATATTCGGCTCCAATCTCAGCGCTTTGACGCGTTCTCCAACTTCGACGCTGACTCAGTGAAGGACTCGGCCAGCGACTCATCTCCGGTTTTCGGAAGCCATATGTCATACAACGAAGGAGATTACGTGTTTCCGTCTCAGCCAGTTCCGGAGACTCCATCTCCATCAGCGATACGCTCTAACGCAAGGGGAGACACGGCGTTCTCACCGGAGCATGACGGGAGGGGTCTCGATGGAGACTTTGGTGCCTCCGATGGCCCAGTCTTGCCACCACCGGTGGACTTGGAACCAGAAGAAGGCTTTGCTCTAAGGGAATGGCGAAGGTAAGCTCTTGATCGCTGTTTTCTAGTTTTCGGTTTTGAGTGGAATATATCCGTGTCATCCTTTCTGGCTTTTGATTCACAGAATGTTAGGTCTAATTTCATTGCTGCATGTCTGCGTTTGAAGTTTTTGCATATGCTGATGATGATGATGGATGTGTGAATGAGCAGACAGAACGCAATTCACCTGGAAGAGAAGGAGAAGGAGGAGAAAGAGATGCGGCGACAGATTATAGAGGAAGCGGAGGAGTACAAAATTGAGTTTTACAGGAAGCTTGAGCTGAATGTCGAGAATAAGAAAGCGTCTAATAGGGAAAAGGAGAAGGTAAATCAGTTTGTGATGTTTTCTACTAAGTTTGATATTTAGAATAGTTATAGCAACATTTCTGTGTCACGTTATTCTACCTCCATCTTAGCTTCTATAATAGAGGGCGAGAAATAGAATAAAATCTTCTTTCCAGATAGAAGCCTTCAGAGTACCCGTGGGAGAGGTCTTGTGAAGATGACAAAGAAGACTCTGCTTTTGATTATAGAGTGACAAATCGCTCTTTCTGTCCATTCCATTGCGGAATTTCAACTGGAATTACAAACAGGACGAACATAAATAGACAGATTTGCTTCTCTCCCTCCTCGATTGCACTGGAACTTTTGCAATCCTAGGACCAATGGCAGTTTGGTGGGGCTTGGCCAGAATGGGACGAATTTGGTGGTTACGAAATATGGTACAGACATACATTCGAATTAGGCGATAGACTAAAAGCTGGATTTAGGAATGCAAATAAGTTGTCACATTTTAAATTTTTTTTTTTAAATATAAACATACGAACTACGATGTGATAATGTATACACCCGTCCGGCTGATGCCAAAATTTGAATAAATTTGAGAATTAGGGTCTTCTTGATTGGTGATAAGTATAGAATAGAAGCATACATGTGAAACAAGGGTTGAAATTAACGAGAGATATGGTGAGAATAGTGCAGGGCAAATGGAGCAAATGATCCCCCCCCCCTCAATTTCTGCTCATTCACACGACACATTCATTCACTAATAAATTTTTCCAAGCAAGAGGAATGAAAATATTTTTAAAATTTTTAATATATTTCACCTCATTTATCAAGAACCCACTATTCATTGATGTGAAGAAAATAAGAAAGCCAACTTTGATGCTTATTGATATCTTTAATTGAATCCAAGTTGGCTTTACATTTTAGGTTTTGGTCTCGTTAATAATGATCTGGTATCATCAGCTTTGCTAAGATTGAGATTTTACAAATATGCACACTCCTTAGCTCATCATTTCAAAATTTTCAGGTTTATCATGGTATCTTTGTGTCAGGGTCTTGTATTACCGTAGCTGATGTCAATGATTGTTAATCTGGCAGTTATTTTTAGCAAGCCTCGAGAAGTTTCATGATGAAGCTGAGAAGAACTACTGGAAAGCAATTGGTGAACTTATTCCCAATGAAGTGCCAGCAATAGAGAAAAGAGGGAAAAAAGATAGAGAGAAGAAGCCTTCCATTGTTGTAATCCAAGGGCCAAAGCCTGGGAAGCCAACTGACCTTTCAAGAATGCGCCATGTCCTGTTAAAGCTCAAGCATAATCCTCCTTCTCATATGAAGCCTAAGCCACCTCCATCGTCCGAACCAAAAAAGGATGCTAATACGGGACCCACTGATGGGGTTGGTTCAAGTACTGCTCTTCCTCCTGCTCAAGAGGCTGTTTCTGCAGCTTGAAAGGCGCCACTATTTGCTCATTCGCCATGTGAAAACCAGTTTCTGCGAGCATCTTAATTTAATTAGTTGTATCGTGGTATTATATGTGCAGAGTATCCTTATTTTCGGTTGCTTGATGTGAATGTAGTTTTATGCAACCCTTTCTAGTTTTTGGCTGTGATCCGATGTTGTGGCCTGTAGAACATTATCGTTGATAGACTTGTTATTATTGTAGCTGTTTTGGCACTGGTTGAAATTGAGAAAGTATATTTTATGAAAAGTGATTTATAATACAGGGATTTTATAACAAAGTACAAATTAGTTTGTGTTTGCCTACATTGACCAAAAAAATGTTATTAATGATTTTTCAGATTTTATGATGTCTTTAAATGTAAATTTAATTATAAATTATTTTTTAAAGATTATTAGATAGTTTATATTATTGGGTGGTTTGTATTATTGGGTGGTGTAAAATAAATTATTATTTGTTTAAATAGAGTATCTAATGCCAATGGACGTTTATTATCATGGTGGAATCACTCAAAGTGCACAAGTGGCCTTGCCTTCATTTGACTGTTGGACAAGTGGATATGAGTAAATTCTTCCCCTATAATAAAGAAATGGGTAAAAGTATAAACTTGATCATGTATTATTTTTTTAGAAGTATCTAATAGCTTAAATTATTAGGTAGTGTGAAATAAATCATGCATTTTTAAAAATAGAGCATCCAATACCTTGATGTTAGTTTCAGTTGACAGACATTATGTGAAGCCCATAATGACACATGACACTCTATGGACAATCTATATCAACATGTGTAAATGTACAAATTTAACTACGAACTATTTTTCAAGGAGCATTGAGTAGCTTTTATTATAAAATACGGACCATCAAACACATTTTCCTCAATTTTAACTAAATATTATTTATTTTCATACTTATAAGGCCCATAATATGTCAATCTCTCTAATCTTTTTGCCTTCATTTCAATATCAGCTCGAGAAGAAGATGTTCAAAGAGTTATTGTCTGAAGATATTCACGAGAATGATGCCAATGAAGTAAAAGCTTGATTTTACTATGTGTGGAAAAAACTTGATTCTAGCTTAATTTAACTATGAATTATTTCTTCTATTTTATTAGCGTTGTTTTTGTAAATGTCTTCAAATAAAAACTCTTTGAACATCTTTCTCTTGAGTTAAAATTAAAAACAAAAGAAAAAAAATTGAAGAGATTGACGCATTATGTACCTCATAAGTGTAAAAGTAAATTATGTTTGGTCAAAATTGATAAAAAGCATTGGATAGTTCATTTTTTTATATAGGCCACTTAATACACTGTAAAAAATGAGTTGTGACTAAATTTGTACCTTTACACATACTGACATGAATGCCTGTAAAGTGATATATGTCATTACAAGCTTCGTATAACGTCCCTCAACTAGATTAATTGTGAGTTATTAAATATTATATGTTTTAAAATTCGTGATTTATTTTACATCGGCTACGATGCGCCTAAAAAATAGTACAAGGCCTTCATCTCCGACACTAGAAACGTGAACATCAACCCAAGCAAGTTAATCACACCCAAGACAATTCCTCAACCCCAGTGGTGTTTGAAGTGTACAAAAACCGAAATGAGAGAATGTGTGGTTCTAGTTCGAGAATCATCTACCCTTCAATTCAATAAAGACTGTAAGTGGGCATTTCAGATTTGCACTTGCTTCTCTTTTATTCAGTGTTCTTCTGAGGCGAACATTGGGACATCTTGCTGCCACATCCGAAGAACAACATTCTTGTAGATTGCTTCAGTGTCCAACTCTTCTTCATGATTTTGGTCACATCCGATGCGAGAGCAAAACCAGTAGCGATCTTCGTGAGAATCTCTAGTGCGTTGAAGTCAATGAACTCGAACACTTCGATCTTTTTGTAGAACTCATCGTCTGTTTCCTCTTCTTCGATCACTGGCAACAATGGAGCTTCTGCCATATCCTATCATTAAGAGCTTTCACGCAGAGAGAGAGAGAGAGAGAGAGAGAGAGAGAGAGAGAGATGAGAGAAGCATAGGAGCGTGATGTGGGTCGATATGAAGGAAAATGTTTAGTAGTAGTCATTGAGCAGAACGAAGAAATAAAAAAATAAAAAATCAACAAAGAACAAGTGCAAAATGAAGAAATCAAAGAAGCAGAGCAGCACAAGTGCAGAACGAAAAAAATCAAGCAGATCAAAAGTTTAAAGGAAAATAGAAAGGACGCACCTGGTTTACGAGCACAAATTCAAGCTGGGCGCTATGGAAAAGACGCATGAAGACGCACAAAGTTCAGACAAAGAAGAATGGACGAAGGCAGTCGGAAAAGATGTGCGATGGAGGAGGAAAATGAAAGAAGACAGTCGAAAAATGTATAGCCACGTATACAGAGCTTTGGTCAAAAGATTGATTTTTAAATAATTAATAATTTATTTTACATCTCCCTGTAACATAAATTATGTAGTAATTTTTAAAAAATAATTCATAATTAAATTTATATCTTTATGCTAACTTAATTCACAAATATTAATTAATTTTTTAGTTATTTTATAATGTTTTTGAGTATCTTAATATTTTGAAAACGTGTTTTATTTATCGTTTTTAATTATTTTTGGAAACTATTTAAAATAATTTATCAAAATATTCAACAGTTCATTTTAATTATTTTTAAAAATTTAAACAAAAGTTGTAAAATTTCAAAGAAGTAATTTTTTCATAAAATAAGTGATTTATTTTTTATTAAAAAAAATGCTTAAACAAACATGAATATTAAAACTTTGGCAAAAGTTAACATTTTTGAACCTTTGTGAAGTTAAATGTCCGAAGTGCACTTTTGCTTAAAACTTTGTTGTGTTTAATAACTTAAATTACATGATGTAATGTTCCAGTATTACAGGCCAATCAAAGCTATCATTTGTTATCAGCGTGCAGATGATTTGAATATTTTGTATTGAACAAGCCGGCATATAGGCATATGTACACATGCCATTCCACATTGTTCCTCTTCATTCGTTTCCCATGCTCTCTCTCTCTCTCTCTCTCTCTCTGACCCCTTTGGATGGAAAGAACTCTGGAATACTAAAACAAACGATCCTATGACCAGAGGGAAAAAAAAAAAAACAAATAGGAGTGTAAGAAAGTTCTGAATATTTACAGGCTCCATGTAATGTTGTCCATCAAGTATCCTTCAATATGAACCAAATAATCAATCACCTTGGAAGCATCTCTGTATCGAAATCAGCACCACTAAAGTTGCTTGATGTGATGATGTATGGATTTTTGGAACTTCTGTTCTTGTTTGCTTGAGAAGATGATGTCTCCTCCAACGAAGAATTGCCGCACTCTTTAGAGCCATTCCACCTATAAACTCCCGGTTCAGTCAGTGCCTTCTCATTCAAATTCACTTCCTTGGTCAGCATTTTTATTACTTGCTTCATGGTGGGTCTGTGTTGTGCTGCTGCTTGGGTACAGAACAGAGCAACCTTAATGAAACGCAAAACCTGCATCTCATCATATTCGGTGAGTTCAGGATCTACAATATCCAGAAGCCTTCCTTCTTCTCTCAGCTTCCAAGCCTGCCAATAAACGCTTACTCAAGTCAGACATAGAGATGTACAGTAGCTTTCAAGCTGACAGGAGAATTATTTCAGTTCTTCAGTACATTCACAGTTATATGTTCCTTTTATTACCAGGAAAAAAGAAACATTTCTCTCGCATCAATTCATATGCTTTTGAAGTCCACTGTGTACTAGAAGCCACAAAATTTAATTTTCAAATGAGAATAGGCGTCCTATTAAATTAACACAGTCTAATCTATGAAAATAATAATTTTTTTACAACACCACTGAGAGAACAGGACGTGTCTTCCAGAACTTTGTATGACAACAGTTTATAATGCCTCTAGGTTGGAAAGCAGTGCGATCAAAATAGATAAACGCATGTCATTCCACAAATTTTACTACACCTTCACACGGTACTAGTTAGGACATTAAGCGTTCAGTATCGTTCTGAAATCAAAATTGCTGTACTTTAACAAATGAACTGATATGCTAACAGTAGCTTATAGCAGAGCCACTCTGACATTTAGATACTAACACCCTCTGCAATATATTTAGAGGCCAAGAGGCCTAAAGTTAAGCTAAATCCAGCTGAGGGGCCAACAGATGAGTCAATATCAGATCAAACTTCTTGCTGCTGAAGACTGCTAAGGTGCATTCGGAATGGAAAAGGCTGAATCTAAATATTAAAAATAACAACAAACCAAATCCTAATCTAATCCTAGGAGATAACAAAGATAATCTAGATTTACCTAGATATCTTATTTTATTGAAAATAAATAAAATTTAAAATAAACCTAAGAAAGATACTAATAAGAAAATCTAATTATTAAATCCTAAATAATCTAATGGATATTCTAAATATCCTTGTTTAAATTATCCTAATAAAATAAACTAATTACATCCCATCCGTATTTCATCGATAGGATATCATGTCAAGTCTTGTGATATTATGGTTCTATGTATGTATTTTCTTTGGTGTTGCAAATGAGGCTAAAAGCTCAAAATTCTTTGTATGTATTATGTTCATGCACGCTAAAAGTAATCTGGGCACCATAACGCTTCTTTGTGACAGCTTATTCATATAAATTTACATTTTCTATTATTTAATTATTTTTTATTTTCATTTGAGGTAAGATCTAAGGGTTGTCGCTTCAATCTTTTAAATCACATAATCAATCCTAGCAAAGATCTTGACCAACCTCGGAAAAACTAGAAAAACCATTCGAACCAACTTATAGACTGAGACTTTATTTCTCTTGTTATGTCTGTCTGACTCTGATAATTAAACAAGCTATGACAAAATCATAGCATGTCTTGGCTAGTTGATACTTGACTTTAGAAAGATACCCATTCCACCAGAACCCAGAGATTCTCTCCAAATGCAGCTTTACTGCTACTTTTGCCACTGATTATTTCAAGCATGAGAATCCCAAAACTATACACATCTGCCTTCTTTGTAAGTTGTCCTAGAAGTGCATATTCTGGTGCGAGATATCCCCTGCAAATACCCCAAAAAAATAAACGGGTTAAACACAGTTCATATGTTAAAGACCAAATCTAGTAGAACAGCCAAGAACCTATTGTATGGAAATCTTGACAAATCTATAATACTGGTGCGAGGTAGTTTATCGTCTTTGGTCTTTATATCTCACAGATGTTAATTTAGCATGAAGGAGGAGGTTAGGGATAGTTGCTTGTAATCAGAAACTTCTGTTGTCACTCCATTATCTTTTCTATTCTTTGATTACTCAAACATTGCATTTCAACAAATATTCACTGTAATAATTGATGCGGTAATGTAAAACATGTGTTCCAAAGCTAAACAATAATAATTTATATTCATCAAGAATAAAGTAACAATCGAAATAGCAAACACATGCGCATACCAAGGACACTAATCCAATGGCTGCCTTATACCCGTGTGAAGGAGAGGAAAAAATATTACCTAGTAAAGCAGTTTAGATCTTCATATTGTCTAGAGAAGATTCATAAGAAACAATATATATATATATATATATATCATTGGATGCATATTCAAATGGGTTTACAGAAGATTTAAAAAGAAAAATATGAAAAGAAGAAACAAGCGTTCATACAGATTCAAAAGGTGCAACTAAGGCAACAGTCATATAAAACGAAATTCATAATGTAAATTGTGCATTATTACTTACACAGTTCCTGCCACTCGGGTACTAACGTGAGTGACATTGTCAGGAAAAAGCTTTGCGAGGCCAAAATCACTTATTTTAGGATTAAAGTTCCCATCAAGCAGTATGTTGCTAGCCTTGATATCTCTGTGAACAATGTTTGGTTGAGCCTCTCCGTGAAGAAATTCAAGACCAGAAGCTGTACCACAGCAGATAGAAGCCCTCTTTGGCCAATCCAGAGCAACACATTTGCTTTTGGGACCTGTAAAAACGTTTGATGTTTATAAGCACACCCAAATTCATGGAAAAGCCTGCACTGAGCTTTTAAATGAATAGTTTTCATTCCTCCAACTTGAAACAAAAAGGAAAGTTAATGTTAAACTTGAAAGCATGACAAATTTTATCACATTTTGACTATATTCTGTACTCCAAAGATCCAAAAGTAACCCATACAAGGGACAATGGAAAACTGAGTCCAGTTCAAACAGGTAAGTTCCGTTTTTGGAGTATGATAAATTGCGATAACATGTAAAGATAAACTGGTTTCCAAAATCAAAAGGTCGAACATCTATTCAGTTCAGACAAGACTCGCTTCCATATACATAATTGGATTGTTCTGGTACTTACCAAGCAAAGAATTTGCAAGGCTATTGTTTTCCAGAAACTCATATACCAACATCCTATGATAGCCCTCAATACAACAGCCAATAAGTCGCACAAGGTTTGGGTGCTGTATCTTTGATATAGTATCGATTTCTGTCATAAATTCTTTTGTTCCCTGTTTAGACTCTACAGAAAGAGACTTGATAGCAACTTGAGTACCATCTCTTAAAACTCCCTGAAAATGTCAAGAAAGAATTTAAAAAAAACAAAAACTCAAACAACAGTGATAAAGTGTAAAGCCCATTGGAAAGCAAACATAAGGACAAGAAAACCTCCCAATGGTCACCTATCTTACCTTGTAGACAACTCCATAACCTCCCCCACCAATTCTGCTAGATGGATGAAAATCTTGTGTTGCTGATCTCATCAAACTGTAACTAAAAGTTTTAGTTGCAATCACTGTCATCCACAAAGCCCATAAAGCACACATCAAAAATTGCAGAAGGCTGAATTTCTAAAATAGGAAACATCAACAAAGAAAGTCATGAACGCATTTATAGGTAGAACATTGTCCAAGTAACAAATGTATCATTGGACATTAGATCAACTCAAGATTTAACAGGCGTAGAGATGCCTGCATAACTCCCAATCCAACTTGCAGACTGATTAAGTGAGAGACAGTAATTAAATGCAATGATAGCAAAGAAGGAGTAACCCCAAACCTAGAGGGTAAGTTAGGCATCCTTACCAGCATATCAATATTAATATTAACCATTTTGAATAGGATATTGAATTTGAATACACACTACCAAGTTACTGAGAGAAGTTATTCAAGAGAGTTCATGGAAATTCCACAGGCTGAACCATCAAAAGACAGATAAGTCCAGGTTAAACTACATTAAATGTGTCTGGTTGCAGTTTAAGAATGATACTGCAAAAGAGTACCTTCAATTGTATTAAATGCAGTTATCTTAATTTCCTTCAGCATATTTAAGTTTTTCACGGCGCACAATTAGCAAGCACGTTATTTAATGTGATAATGTCACAGCATAACCTAAATTCTAATCCTCTGCATTAGTCTGCAATCATCCATTGGAAAGAATATAAGCTACTTTCTATCTTTATATTAATTTCCATTTTTCTTTTTATTTTTCTCCAACTGCACTATATGCATCAGTTTGTGAATAACTGAATATAGAAGATGTTGATTACTTTTAAGTTTGAACTCTAAAAGGTGATAAAAAAAAATTCATTTATAGAGAATAAACTTTCCCAAGTTTCTGTCACATCATGCAAATACACAAGCTTAAATTTATAGTTTAAGTTAGTTCCCAATAACATCGCAGCCTCCATCAGTACCAAAGACCCCTCAATTAAATGCAGGACTTCTAGACATTTTTTCTGTGAGATGTGATAGAAAGAGATGATAAAATAATCTTCAGCTTATGGAATTCGCAATTTTACAAGCTAAGTGATCAACTCTATTTCGTTACTACTAGACGGATAATCTTAGACTGTAGTAAAATTTATTTGGCATTAGAAACAAAGATACACTGCATCATCATGCAAGAAAGAGTAATGAAAATCACAAGATCACTATTACCCTTTGATTTAAACAATTTATCAATCAGAGAAATCAAAATCTTCACTCTTATCCATACCTTGTTCATCTGACTGGCCAGCAGGTTCATTCTTCCCTTTACAACAATTCAAGGCGCCGAAGCAATTGCCAACCATAGCTATATATATCCAACTTGCAAACCCTGTACAACAACTAAATCCTCTAACATTTGCTCGTTAAAATCAACACATATTTAACAACCACGATGATGGGAAAAGAAGAAACGAGTTCGATTCAAAGCGAAAGAGCATGATCTTCCCAACATTGTTGAACCTCAAACCCTACAGTAAATCTTCGAAATGCTGGGGGTGCAAAAACGCAGGAAAGATGTGAATTTCCCTATTAAACAGAGGAAAATCACAAAACCCTTGATGGTTTAATTGAGATAGAAGAAACATACGATCGGACGAACCGTGTGAGTCCATATATGAGTCACGAAATTGGAAAATGAAGTTATGAAGTGTGGGTCAAGCAGTCAAGTAAGTTATTAACTCTTCAACTCTCAAAAAGAAGAGGTAATCGGCAACAGAGGATCAGCACAAAGGAAAAATGAACTGTGAAAGCGACTGAAGTTTTTTTTTTTCCTTTGCTTGCCGTTGTAAATGTAGGATAGATTATAGAAAGACGAAATCATAGATATTCGCCGTCCCAATGAGAAGTGGAAACATTTTCGTTTACATTGTCACCGCGAAAACCAGAATCACAATCACGGAAGAGATTATGTTGACTTCGGACTTTTGGATAATCTTTCTTTAGTTGACTTTTTCCAAAAAAAAACAACAACAACAAAAACAAAAACAAATAAAAGAAAAAGAATATTACCATGAGGCAAATGCTATGCGTGACCAGTGTATAAAATTCGGAGCATTTGGTTTAATGAAATTGTGTTGCTAATGTATAATTAAATGAATCACTAATAAGTAATAAGTAATGTCCCATTCAGTACAGCAAGGTGAAAAAAAAAATTAGTATTTTTTTATGTAATCATTTAATATTTGATATTGTTATGCTAGATACTTAAATTTGTCCATCATGAGGTTGGATCATGAATAGTAGTTTCAACATGATTTTTTTTATTTTATTTGTAACATGTGATATTATTATGTTGATATAAATGCAGGATAAATCTTTAGGATAGCTATTTTTAATTACGCTGAGTAATACTTAAATCTGATTTAATAATATTTAATATTTAAAAACTACATAAAAGCATATTCATCCATGCTCCTTCTTAAAACAGGGACCCTGTTCTATATTATATGTGGTTTTTTTTAATTATTATTCACAGGTTTTCTTTTATTAAAAATGAACGTATTCGAGACAAACATGAGTGCTTCCTTCTCCTTTTTTTGGGCAATAGAGTGCTTCTCTTAAAAGTCGGCGTGTGTAGAGCAAAGTATATTTGTATTATTCACATCACATCATGATTTCATAATACCCCTTTTCAGTTGAGACAACGTTTTTTAACAAGAGACAACGTGTCCTAACATGTCTAGGTGACGTTGGGCTTCCTGGTTACGTGAGGCTGAAGGAGGGACTAATATACCCATGAAATTCATGAAATTCATATAATAAGTTCATCAAAGTGGAAGCAGTCTGGTTCTGGAGCCTGATTTTATTATTATTTTTTTCTTCTTCTTCTCACCTGGCTTCATTTTCATTTATCTCATGCATGAATATGACAATTTGAATTTAAAAAGGCCAAATGTTTGACAAAAATAAACCAATGGCCTAATAATATATATAATTCACATTACATGTCGGCTAAATCTCTTATTGACCTGCTGGCTGCTATCGTTATTCTTTTATTTTTGTTGCAGTAAATTTGGTTTATCTGTAAATTAATGCCTATAGATCTATAAATTAAACTATAAAATCTTCTGAATTAAAAAAAAGCTAGAATTTTACTTTTGAATGCCTTATGTTGAACTGAAAGTTTAGAAATTCTTACAAAGTCTATATAGTATACAAAGCCAATCATAAATAAATATGAAGTATATAATAAAAGGTTAAAGTACTCGTTAACAGAGGAAAATTTCTTACCCTCTGTAAAATTATTTGGGAAAAAAAATATTTCACTTATTACTACAGAATATCTAATGCGTTCTCAAAAAAAAGTATAGAAGCAAGAATATATTTTAACCCTGTAATAAATATCAAATAAGAAATTATATTAAAAGAACTATTTAATCCCTAATGATATTTGAATCTAGATTAACCTATTGTACCAAATACCATATGATTGTACCCAAAAAACATACTATAAAACATAATCACGCCCAGCACATTTATCTTTTATAAGCCATCACACTTATTTAGATGACTTGTTTCAATCATCTTTGATAGACCGCATTGTTTGGTATTGAATACTAACTATCGAACTACATGAATGTGTAGTCTTGGAAATTTTAAGACAATAAGACAATTCCACTGTTTTGGTTTCGTGCTAGAACTAAAATGCAATGCCAAAAAAATTAGAGCCTTTAAAACAAGAGTTTCAGCTAAAACATGTTTTGGATGCAAATTCCCATTAAAAAAAAGAATCATTCAGCAGATGCAGTTCGGATAACAATTGAAGGAGCTCTTCAATTAATAGCGGCCAATTTTCAGTACTAATAGTCCCCAGGCCACAAGTATGCTTATATGTGATATCTCCAACTAAGAGAAATCAATTTCTCAAGGCATGCCCTTAGAGTGTATTACATAGGACATTAGAACAATAGAGACATGAGCAGTTTGAGAAGCACAGATTCTGATACAAATAAACTACAATAAAGACAGTGACACAACTAAATATATTGTGTCAAGCTGCAGAAGTTTCATATCATGCCTGATGACTCTGCTAGAAATAACACGACTCCATCTTTGAAGTATCGGTGCTTCATTGGCATTTGAATATCTATGCTAGCTTTACTACCATATACAACTGGACCTGTGGTTCCATGGATCACCTGCTGTGATGACTAGCAGGTGAAGAGTTTCCCCTATCACTTGCCAGATCATTTTCTTCAATCTCACTTCCATCATAGGAGACGGAATTGAAATTTACACTTGGTTCAGAACTGGCAGTGCTGCTAGTGGCAACAGGAGAATCAGAAACATTTACTGTCCTGCTATTTGATGAACCAGCTGATCTCACACTGTACATAGAGGAAGCTGGAATGCTTGTCACAAGTGGCTTCGGGTTCCCCTTAATGCTTCGCCTAATGTCCTGTACAAGATAATAGAAGAAAACTGGTAAAGTTGCCCAATACGAAAAAGGAAGAACTTCTAAGTGATCATTGTTTACTTCATTGAGAGCGCATGAACAAACTTTTTAGAATAAACCACCCAAAAAAACAGTATATTCACTGAAGGGACTTGGATCTTGGATAGAGTAATTAGGCTAAATCATTACATTCATTAACTAAAGCTGTGTAGCTTATAAGTATATAGAAAAAGAAAAGGGGGGAAAACCTTTGGCACAGTATTTAGGTACATGTTAATTTTTTTTTTTAAATTAAAGACGCAACTTGTGGACTGTTCTTAGAACCCAACATATCAACGATTCCCTTTTTTTGGGAAAGAATAATCCATAGGACTCCATAATTCTAATGAAGAATTGGAAAGAATGATATTTAGTTAAGAAGAAAATTGTTGCTGTAGTCAATCATAGTTGTCGATCTTAAAATGGTCATGCGTTCGAAAGGTCAAAGTGTCAGTAATTCCTTATCAAGGAAACGCATTCTCCCTATGTGTATATATATATATATATTTTGCTATATTATGCTAAACAGTTTAGGCCCCAACATTGTTGTAGTTCAGATATCGTATAAATAATGGAATTTAGAAACATACCATATGCCTCATTGCCATATCTAAGGATTTCTTTGAAAGTGTTCTTCCGAATCCTGAGCTTTCAGACAATGAAGACTTGCCGGAACTGCTGTGGGCAGAATGACGATCTTCATGCTTCGGTGGTGCCAATTTTCTCATGTTTACAACTCTCTCAACCATTTTAGTCCCGACTACAACCGGGCTATCATTATCACCATCAGTGAAACGAGATCTACTCAGAGCTTGAATGGAGTTATAGTTACTTTGAGCAACCCCAGTCGAAGCCCTTCCTCTGGAAGGAGTGCCTGACTGTCTTCTCGATTTTCCATCACTACGAGCTGCGGCCTCAAGGGAAGATGGTCTAGAATTAGGTGTACCAGGTCTAGTCCTAGAGGCTGAAGCTGGTCTTTCTGGCAACGATGTCTTCAAATTTGGAGGAGCCTCAAGTGAAAACCCGGGCATCTGTGAGGGTTCCCAAGGCCTAGATTTTGCAGATGGAGAGCTTCCACGTGATTGCACTGGATTTTTTGCTTGTGCTGGGCGTGCTTTTGATGCTGATGAAGATCGAGAGGCAGGTGTAGACACTCCATTTGCACTTGATGGGGTTGAAGATCTAAGGGTTGGAGTTGATGATCTTCGAGTAGTCTCAGGAGCTGTTAAAGAAGGTCTGGATGTTGGCGTTGAGGCACGAGCAGTAGCCCTAGCCCTAGTTCCAGTAGGAGTGGATGATCTCACAGGTGGAGCAGTGGCCCTAGTTCCAGTAGGAGTGGATGATCTCGCATGTGGAGCTACAAGCTTAGCCGAAGTTACAGTGGCCCGGGATGTAGGGGTAGAGGGTCTAGAGGATTTGGTTGTTGAAGGCAATGTTGGCCTTCCAGATGGTGTCACAGATCTGGAAGCGGCTGAGGTTGTCCCCCCAAATGATGAGGTTCTCCTGTTACTAGCAGTATTAGAAGAACCAAGGCCAGACATTGCTGCTGCATGATGCTTGGAGCTAATATTGGTTTTTGAAGCAGGTTCTGATTGAACATTAGCTAGCTGTAACACAAGATACAGCATAAAGTTTCAGATATGATATTATTTCGCCAAATAAATAAACACAACCAATAAATATTGAGATTGGTTGAGAACAAAGAACAGGTATGGGAAAAACCCATCCCAAGGAAGTTACAGTAAAGAGATCAAGAAAATTATAAAGCTGAAGCGATATGCTATAAATATTAGACCCATAATATTTTCATTACAAGTTCTAACACGCAACACAACATGGATGTTATTTGGGGCTTCAAGTGTAAACGAAGTATATAAATCACAAGGTCACATGGCCTCTGCTAATAAGTTAATGATTAAAACTTTTAAGTGAATTCTATGAAATTTTTGTTATAATCTCTTTATACACACACACATTGTTTTATTATAATCGCTTACAAGCATGAATCATCCAAAAATCATATAAGTAGGTTCTTACCCGAGCTTTTAAAGCTGTTGAACGAGCAGTAGGAATCTCCTTTTCACTCTTTATTGATATCTGTGACTCCTCTAATGTAGGAAAAAGAGGTGTACCAGGTGGCGTCAGAAGCCTGATTACAAGAAGAATTTATTGTGAATAGAAGAGACGTAATTTAGGGAGAACAATTTAACAAGTAATATGAATATAGAAAATAGGAATGAGGTGGTACACCTCTACTCCAAAGGCAATTAATTGCATCTAATTAATTTACTCGGTATGAGGAGTTTCTGTCGGCAATAGAATAGCATTGAGATGTCGAACAAATGTTCACAATAATTTATTTGCTGTGCAAAGAGCAAGAGAATTCATTCCTCCACCAAAGGTTACAATTGAAATCAGTTGACGATGACTAGATTACGGTGTTCAGAGGTTTTCTTTTCAAACAACGATCACTTTCAGAAGATAATATATGGGAAGCAAAACCAGAAATTGATTTCTATCGTTGGAGAAAATAATTGGCATCATAATTAACTTCAATCACAGCAAAGGAAATTATTGGTCTCTTTTTTCCTGATAATAAATAAAGTATTTGTCTCTAGTGATTGCAAGGAGAGTAAGGTTAGGAGACGAATGCATTATTTGAGAAGCAAATTGATATTCAAGGATCTATAGCCCTTCCCTACTTTCCATAAAGGAAAGCCCAGATATCTAAAATAAGCAAATAATAATTGGCATGAACCATGATAACATCCAGAGGTTAGCAGAGGACAGCAAGCAGAGAATTACTCGGAATCCTCATAACAGCAATAATAACCTTTCGTAATTCCAAAAGGACATAAACAAGAAGAAATTCTCTCGACTCAGGTCAAATTATCAATCAAACCAACGACTCTACTCATCTTAATCTCAATAAGCATTCTATTTTCAATCCAGATAATCTGCAAAAAATCTACATAACTATATGACCAGATTATACACAACCCTTACCAATCATAATCAGACTTCTCATTCTCTGAATTTAGAAACTCATCAGCGCCCGTTTTCCGCGGCACCGCCGAAGTTACCGTCTTAGAAATGGGAGAACTAACCCGATTAGATTCTGCAGAGCATAAAAAATACGGCAACGTTTAATAGAACCATACCAGAGCCATTCATAACATGAAAGTACTAGAACAAGAACAAAGCATAAACGTACCCAGATTAGATCCATCAAGCTCGTTGGAGTTCTGAAGAAGGAAAAGGTTGTTTTTCTCATTCTCTTTCTCCCTCCTCCGCATCTCGAGGAACAGAGCGAGTTCCTCATCCCTCTCCTTCATCACCATCTCTTCGCCTAAGCTTCTCGAAGTTCCTGCTTTGATTATTCCTTGAAACGAAGCACCATTTACAAAGTCTCAGTATTTCAAACACAAAGAAAACAAGGGATTTGAATCGTTTAAAAAGGACATGAGTGACGATGGAGTCAACTCAAAAGGTTATGTTTCATAGACACTCAAGAAAGATCTTCTTACCGTTTTCTGGGTAAATTTGAAGCAAATAAACACAGGGTCGCCCAGAAAAATGGATTTCAATCAAGAACTCGGCTAATGCTTCGTGTTACAGAGAGAGTTACTTGTTTGTCATGGGACAAAGAGAAGGAGAGAGTTGTATTTAGAGTTTAAAATTCTGATGAGTTTCCTTTAAGAAGGGAAGAAGGAGGAAGAAGCTGCAGCTGCAGTGCAGGTCTGGTTGGCATTTTAAGATTCCCTCTGATGTTTGAAACGGACGACGAAATAAAAGCCGACGGTTTGAATTCAATTTGTTTGCGCTTTGTTTATTCATTAGTTATCACTGCAATGCGCTTCGAGAAATTCTAATTCTAATTATAATTTTAGAAATTAAAAATTATTATAATTATAATGATAATATTCCCCCCTCTCCTCACTCCTATGAGCTCGGTTCTTTAAAAATTCAGACTCTAAAATTCAGTTATTTAAAATTTAATTTAATTTTAAAATTTGACCTTTAGTTAAATGACTCAGAATTAGGCTCTTAAATCTTTTTTTTCATAATAAAATTAACATTTTAATTTAAATAAAATATTTTAAAATTTAAAATGAAACAAATTAAAGTCTCATATAAAATTTAATATAAAATTCAATAAAAATTTAAAATTTAAAATTTAAAATAAAAATTAAAATATTTATCAATATAAATCTAAATCCTTATTCTCATTGTGTAAAAATAAAATATTATATTCCTCATATGCAGATCAATTTGTTGAAGATGAAGGTAAAAATTTAATGTAAATTATCTTTACAATTTTTTCTTTGTTATCTACAATAAATATTAATCAAATTATGTCATTATCAATCAAATATATGTATATGTGTATGTATAAAATAATCAGGTTTGAAGGGTCATTCGAGCTCGAGCTTTTTTTTACAGGATTATCAAGGTCAAGCCCTCAAGCTCAGTTATTTTAAAAAAAATTAATTTTTAAAGCTTAAAACTCTAATTTAAATAAAACTTTTAAAGTCGGCGCTTATTCCTGACTCTACCTACAGCTCTCCTTTCTAATTCTATTTAAAGATTATTATAAATATCAATTACTATGATATTTGACAGTTGGCTTTTTCCTCCCTAGAAATATATTCGTTCATTCTTATATTTGTTTTTGAAGTATTTTTTTCTTGATTATGCAATGATTTTCAATGTATAAAGTCTCAGAATAGCTTAGGAAGAATTTCTTTACTCATACACTCATTCTTCCGCCCAAAACGGTAGGCTAAAGAGAAACAGTATTTCTCTCCCCAACAATTTCCGAAAAGTCTTGATTTCCGTAGAAAAATCTCGATGGCCACTTAATGTCTTTTTTAATGTTCTATCATTAGTTATTAGTGTTTGGTTCAATTGGTAAATGAAATTGAATCAATTTATCATTTTCTATTTATATATTTATCTTTATATTAGAAGAATAGATTTGTCCATATTCATTAAGTAGGTCAGATATTGCCATTTATTTGCAAAATGAGAGCTCATGGCCACACCTTATCTGTCGGTAAATAATAGTGTGCGCGTGCGTGCATTAAAATTTAAACAAGTACCTCTAATTATTTTGTTTATTTCATTAAATTCAAAAGGAATTTTAGAATCATTGAATAAATAATTTAAAAATATTATTTTACATATGTATTACTAGTCAAGTAACATTTAGAATAAAGATGATCGTAGAAAAAAATAATATTACATAAATATTCGCATATTATTTTTTTGCCACGATAAATATTTTCATATATTATAGGGAGTGTTTTAAATTGATCAGCTATTTGTGCATAAATTATAATAAAGAAAACAAAATACAGAAAAAATGTTGCTTTCTTTTCAAAATATATTTATTTTTCTTGACTTGCTGACTGTGTCATCCAATTAGGTGATAGAAATTGTCAAACATATTTTTACTTCATAGGAAAAGAAAGATTTGGATTTGCATCGGATACTCTTTAACGTTTGCTTGAATCAATGGATTTCCTAATTTTGCCTTGCATCGAGATTTTATATAGATTATGGAGGCGACTATCCTCAACTTACATTTGTTAATTAATGCACTGTAACGTGTCTGTTGTTACTTGTTCCATAAAGGAACAGGTAATAATTATTACTGAGGTTTAAAAAATCAGATTACACTTATCAATTCAATCAACTAGATTGAGAACCGATTTGACACGTGTCAGACTGTTGAATTAGCTAGCAAGTGTAAGATATTTGTTTATTTATTTATTTTTGAAAATTTTAAAACTTGCATTTTTTTTTTTAAAAAAGAAGAAGATGAAACAAACTTCAACAAGAAATTACAAATAAGTTCCAACAATTTTCACGCTTCTTTCACCATCCTTCATCTTTCTAACTCAAGGTGGATGATGGTCAAAGATTTTTTTTTTTTTCCCTGCCTTTATCTGAGGTTTTTTTATAATCAGCATGTGCGAAATTAATCTCTCAATAAATCTAAATATCATATAATATTCAAGAGATCCAAATGTGCTATCATCTTATACCACACCCACCTAGTTAAAAATGCAGCTTTGTGAACAGACATATCTTGACTTCTGATTTTTTATGCATATCTATATGTTATATAAGTTTTGAAAAGAAAAAAATTGCTCATAAAAATATTTGCAAAAAAGAACAATTCATTTCTTCTCTATCCAAAATATCTTTTCTTTTTTACAATTATTTCTTGATCTTGTTGAATATCTTATATTACTTTTATTTTTCTTAACAGTATTTATATTACAGGACTATTGATGATGATGATGATGATGATGATGATATTTTTGCTAAATTAAAAAATACTGCATCTTGCCTTCTTATTCTTAGTCTTAACTCTTACCTTCTAATTTTTGTATACTAATAAAATCATATTTAATAAAAACAAGCAAAAATTATTTAAGCTCATCCTATAATTTTAATTTTCTACAATAAAATTTTATAAAATATTATCTGTAATGTTATATTTAAAAGAAAAAAATTTGGGATACCAGAATTCACACACACACACAACGTAACAGGGAATCAGTTGTTCAAAAGACAGTGATCAGAGTATGGTCAAATAGCAATTGGGAGGGTCATAAACGTTGTCTATTATTTACTAATTTAATTATTGGCAAAAAAAAAGCTACTATTAAATTAGGTCCATTGAAGATTAAAAATTTGCAATAGTGACCATATTTAACTTGATGAATCTCCACACCATCCAATTCAAATTCAAACAAAGGATTGCAGTTAAGCTGATCCGAGAAAGACAAGTACCGAAATCTTTTCCACTGGATGATTATTGAGAATAAAACTATTTAATTTGTGTGTTCGTCAAGAGAAGAAATAACAAAACTATTGTATTTATGCCCATCAGCCCCTGGCTATGGGAGGCTCTATATTAATCTTAAACAGAACTTCACTCTGTTGAAAATATAAAACAGGTCTAATTTTGGTTTAAGTGACGAGGATGGGATTCTTATCACACAAGAAAAGCTTGAATTCAAATCCCATGCATGTCGTCACTGGTATAAGAAAACTCTAATAAAAACAAAGGAAGTTCATTGTTTTAAAAAGTAGAGAAAATATAGATTTGGTCCTTGTAATTGTAATTAATTTGCAGCGGGGCCAAAATTTATGAAGAAGAGGGGTTGAGATTAAAAAATATATATACTATAAAATTTTTATAAATTTTAGAGAAGTCAAAATGTAACATCTATATAATATAAAAAAAAATAAAAATTGAGGAAGGTCACGGCCTCTACTAGTCGCCCCTCCCTCCTCCACTGTACGTCTAAGATTCATATAAGTTTTAAAATTATGATCAACTTTGGTGAAGATTCATGTAAATAACATGAACAATGACAGATCATTAATACTATGCCAACAATATTTGGTAATGGCAAAAACTGCCTGAAGTTAACCACAACGTTAGGAATTGATTTTTTGATATAAAAAAATATAACTTTGACTTTATCAGCCACAGTCAAGAAGGATTAAAAGCTATATTTTTATAAAAAATGAATCCAAAAATTAAATTCAATATACTGATCTATATATTAAAGTCACCCAAAAAACAAATGACACACTCTTGTTGTGAAGGATATGATTTCAAGTTTTACGCAACACATGCGTATAACCCTGATCAAATCCAAGGGAAAGAAGAAGGCTACGACGTGGTTAAATATAGTTTAATTAAATAGTTTTCACCTTTTATAATAAAGTATTCTATCTATCTATTTATAAATCAAACTGCCTGACAAATCTTTATATATATATATATATATATATATTTCCCCCTCATCATTAATAATTTTTGGTTATAACTTTTTTTCTTTTTTTTTTTACATTATTCACAAGTATATTTCTATTAAAAACAATCTTATCTTTTGAGTACTGAATGTGAGAACACACCTCAACAATAATTTGAACATGTATATTCTGGATATCCTCTTTAATAAAAAGACGTCGCATTCTAGATTAGGTTTAAGGCACATCAAATTTATATTAACAAAGATTTTATCTTTACTTCGGGCGACGTAGACACACAAACTTGCTTAATAATCACATTAGAACATGTATAGTTATTATATATTTGCTTGGTTTTTCTTAATTAAAACCATACAATGCTATCTTATAAGATATAACAAAAAATTAGACTCCACTTTAAAGGTCATTAAGATGAACACATAACAACTCTCACACTCCCTACCGTATTCATGCACAATACACACGACGTTATACTTTCGTTTCTTATCTTAACCACTTGCACAATTTTATGCATGCTTTATCACAATTCTTTATTTTATATTTGCACTTACCTTTTATGATATAACTCCAATCATATCATGAATAACGAGTAAAATCATGATTTTTTATATCTAAATGAAAAAACACTATTTTTAATTCCGACACTTTGTTTGAATTTTGATATATATTTCTTCATTTTATTTTTAATATTTTAAGTTCTTATATATTTTTCATCTAAAACATTAGTTTTTATATCTTTAGAGAGACTTTAATGTGGTGCAAACAATATTAATTTTTAATAAGCAAAAATTAACGTGAAACATAAATTTCATGTAAGTTTTGTTCTAAGAGTTTGCTTGTTAAAATTTTTATGTTGGCATCAATTTGACATGTAAATATGAAATCAACAGTATTAATTAATATGTCAGTATTATTAATATCTTTTATATCATGTTAATATCTCTTTAAAATTATAAAGATTAATATTGCAAATGAAGAATAGTGCAGAAACTTGACATATTAG